CCCCAAAACCCCAAAACCCCAAAACCCCAAAACCCCAAAACCCCAAAACCCCAAAACCCCAAAACCCCAGATATTATAATCAAAATTGAAAATTGTTAGTAATGTCTTCTAACACCTTTAGACTGATGTTAAAATCAACATTCAATAAGCAACCGAAGAAACTAGATAATCTTAAAATCCCTGATAGGATATCTAGGAAGGTAAGCTTGATTAAAAATAGGTTCAGTTCGATCTTACAACTTGTTAAGAGATAAACGAGTAATTCATGCATCATTATTTCCTCTAAGTTAAATGGGTCTATATAAAAGCTAGAATCAGGGTGGTTTAAAAGTTTTCCTTTGAAACCTAAGCCCAATCAAAGTTATTGATATGTCTTATCCACTAAACCTTTGTATTCTAGGAATCTTTTATAAGGCCATTGAAATCAAGGGCTCTCAGTCGGGGATCTTTATATTCCAGATCAAGTACAAATTCTTCAAAATTTCCCAAAAACTACGGCAAAGATATCAGGATTGAACTAGGTAAGCTTAAGACTAAAGATTATCAATCAAAAATACCCTTCCCAACATTTGAACGAAGTACCAACTCAATTAACCACTAACCAGAAAACCTAATAAATTGCTTTACATAACATCTATTTTCTTTTATTCAAAATCAAGAAAATTCTAAAACCCCAAAAATATACCAAGTCGAAACCTTATCTTCTCTCTGGGCATCCCAACCCCACTTGTGACACTACCCTATTCTGTTTGTCTACCAACCCCCTTGACTGTTCTACAGAACGATTCATGATAGTGAGTAAGAGAAGGCCCAAATACATTTTAGACGCCGGCAAGGGATCCGATTCATTGACCAAATAAAGTTGACTACTTCTTCAGGTAACCCTTTGGGTGCAATGGCCTTTGTTCACCACTTTAGATTTTGAAAGAGACTCGCCATTGTCTCTTTGGAGGAGTGGTACGGGGGTTTATATTAGAGGGAAGGTGACGAGTAGTCAATTTTTGGAGGTTTAGGGGTTTTGGAGGAGAAAATATATAGTTATGGACAGATATAAAATCAATTTTTCTTTTTTATTAAAGAATTTTTATCAATGTAAACCTCCTGATTTATTGTAGCTCATTTTAACTTCCTTTTCCTGCCTAATTTCACTGTATCCAATTCTCAAGTTACCTCAAAAATTTATATCCAAAAGCTTTGCCTAATATTTATTCTTGCTCTCAAAAACATTGATAAATAAGCTATAGGCCGTATCAAAATGTAAGCTTCCCTTAACCTTCAAGAAAGAAATTAGAAAGCACAAGAAAGATTATTCCTGAGAGATCTGAAGATGAGGTTCTAAAGAAACATCTAGTCAAGCCTACTTAGACAAATGTACAGTGTGCCAACGAGGAATTGCTGTCCCAATACAGTCGTTTTCCCCACTTTCAATAAGTGCCAATGCTAATTGGGGAAAAATTGCTTCTTTTGTACTGAAATAAAACTGATAAAGAGAAGAAAAAGAAACTACTCACCCCTTATAACATGTATTGCTCCTTCTGAAAGCTATAGGAGGAAGTATAAAAATCAACGAAGAGCAGGGGTTTCAGCAGCTATTGCTTTTACAGTAAGCCATCATCTCTACCTTAGTTTCCTTTCTCAAAATAAACGGTCAAATCAAGAACCAGTGAAGGTATGGCTTATTCTAATTTAAACAGCCAATTCGACCTACAAAGAAAAGAACCACACTAACTGAGATTACAGATACAGAAGAAAACAAAACCCAGAATGAGATAAAGAAGCGGCCTATTATAAAGAAGCTGACTAAAAAGTATGAAACTAGCAATTCATTCATCAGTAAACTCAGTTCAATTTTGTAGAGAAGAAAGAGAGCTTCAATAGGTTTATTATCTCCTTGAAGGAATCTACTTCTTCTTCCAAACCTCGCAGACAAAGCTTAATTGGAACGAAAGGCATTACTCAGAAGGTACATTAGCCATCTGAAAAGGTGCTATATATTATAGGATATGATTCAGCCGTCTTTGGAAAGTTACTCTGGGAGAAGTAAGTCTAGAATATCTCACCTTGGCTTTTTTACCATAAATTAATGGATAAATATTAAGAACTTTGAATTTCCTACTTAGGAAGTTGTACTTCTAACAAATTTTCAGTCATATTCAAACAATTTCATCTATATCAATTGGTTTCCTGGAAATTAGTGCTTATATTATTGTACATTTTAGACCCAAGGGTATCATTAAGAGGATCTGCCGTAAATATAAGGACATAAAAACATTCAAGAGTAAATATATGCTAACTTTCAGAATCAAAAACCAGAAATAGTTTTCACCTGACTGCGCATACCAGGATAGACAATATGAAAAAGTCACGTTTTGGTAAAGAAATGCTAACATTTTTGCTTATGCTTGAATGAGATTGTATTAGGTAGATTATTTCAGATTTAAGACCGAAAATTTTCATTAGTTTTCTTGATAAAATAAATAAAAACTAGTAAAAAATTAGGAAAGATTAAGCCACATCAGAGGATAGCCAAAATCTATACATTTCCTTCACTGAATCGTTATAAATAATCAAAAATGCTTCCAGAAATTTAAGTACTGCTTAAATAAGTCTGAATTAATAAAGAAACGCCATTTAAATAAAAATATCTGGGATAAAATACAAAACTCAGTGTTAGCCTGAGGCTTAGACATAAAAGGAAGGTTATTGAAGCAAATATTCTATCTTCTATATTATTCATCCATATTAAAGCTGTAAACCACCCATTAGCACTAATCGTATCTACAAATAAGAGATGGTTATCAAGTCTTTGAAGTATCCTGCCCCAGCCTAGTTTGGCAGGACAAACAGACCTTAATAAACTAGCTTTAGCCCTCTACAGATATTTTAAACTTTAAAGTAGTACGAAAAACAGAAGAGACTAATAAACACAAAGATCAAGCTAAGAAAATAGTTTAAAACCTCAGGTTTTTTAGCAATCATATGTAACCAGGCTCTCCGGGAAATCCCGCAGTGTATTAAGCATTTGGTTTAAGCTATGACTTCAACTATCTAATAGCATTTAAGGATCACATTTTGGCTCAATGCAAAATGGCTTATGAGCATAAAAGAAATATTTATGGTTTGAAGCTAGCCCTTAAAACTTAACTTAGCTTGATATTTTCCTTTGGATAGCTTAAAATTACCATTTTAGCGATATTCTAATAATGTAGCAAATCAGAAAGCCAAAGATAATATAAGAAAGGAGTCAACTATATCCTCATCTGACTTGAGTATTTCAGAATTCTCAAGAGAATGTAATAAGTTTTAAATATGTAATAGCAAATTCTATTGAGAAAACAGTAATTCAAAAACAACCAATGAAACAGAAGAAACCGAAATTGATGACAAGATCATTGATTTATAGAGTAAGCTAATAGAATAACTTGATGAAATTGATAAATATATTGAAAACGGAGATTTCATCTGACCTAGAAATACTCGATATCCTTAGGTGGATAATAAAAGAAGTTGGCTTATACAAATTCAAAAATAAAATTCATCAAATATTTCTTTACTCTATCAAGATTTTTCTAAATGACTAGATTAAAATAAACATCATTACCACTCTCCTCCCCTTGGCCAGGTTGCACCTTAATCTCAAAGATATCTGCCTTCCACTACATTTAGTCCCTAATCTCCTTCTAGAAGCCAGTCCAGATCAAAACAAGGAACAACTCTACTCAAAAGCTCTCAAAGCCCAGAACCCGGCCACGAACAAGCAGGAAACCTCAGAGTAAATCCTCAGCTAAGCTATAGCTTTGACTAAGAAGACACTAAGAAAGTCCTACAGGCTGGATTACTTCCCATGGGACTTGTTCATAGCAAAATCCTAGTCCTCCTCCTTCATCTGAAGCTGGACTTGCTGCTAGATAAGCTCTTCGAGGCACATGCTTGATAAGGGCCAGGATGGATGCCCCTAGGTATAAGGATAGACAAGCATAGCTTCATTAGTTAAATCCAAGGTTTTTTAATAAGCAGAAAGGTCAAGTTCAACCTTGCATATGTTCTTAGGGGTTTTGGGGTTTTGGGGTTTTGGGGTTTTGGGG